AAAGGTTCTGTGAGTCAAGCAGATACTGTCGAAGGTTTAGTCCTTCATCAATGGTCAATCCCTCCACCTCCCTAGGCCTTTCCCTGCCCTTTCCTTTCCCATCACCTCTCGAGATTAATCCCTCCTGACATTTCCCAGATCCACGAGAAAACTGTAGCAGTCGTAAATTAGTGTTGATGATACTCAAACTCTCAAGTTTAGGGCTCCATTTAAGAAGTCCAAGCAAGGCATTTGAAATTCTCTCGTCCCCCGAATTGAGTTTGAGAACTTCAACACGTGTGCACTGCCTAACAGCCTTTCTCACAAGCTGTACGAGCTTTTCGAGAGTTCTGAAGCGTTGATCAAGCATAGGGCGTGTGTCTGTAAGATCAGAGAAGACCTTTCCGGCTTCATTATGGTTGGGGAATGATGTGTAGGAAGAGGCTTGGTAATCTATTTGCCGAACATGTTTCGCAAGGTGTGGGTTACTATGATATAGATTGTTCGTCAGAAATTCTATTTCAGCCGTCAAAGAAGATATAAATACCTAATGGCTCTAATAATACCCATGCTCCAAGGCATGACAACTAGCGCTGGTCCACCAATAGGAAACGTGCCTCCTTGTTTTCCGTCGGGATAGAAGTCCTCCTCGTCATTATACCCGGAATCATCATCTTCATCCTGTTCCGAGTGACAGTCATGTCTCAAGCCATGCCCATATCTCATTGTCCATGCAGCACTCGGGGTCCGAGCAACCCTATGGCCATGGTTATATAAAGGATCATAAATCCTGGGTATCTCGTAAGGCTTTTCTGTGCCGAGGCTTTTTACTTTTTTCTCTTGTTTTTTCTTCCATAACCTCTTTCGACGCCCAACTTCGACCCAGTAGTCTTCCATATAATCCCCAAAAGGAATTTTCCTATATATTATAGGCGTAGCAATGTAATTCCAACGACGGCAAACGAGAGCATGTGAGGATGCCAAGTGGTGAGGACGAAAGTAAGAAAATATCTGGTGAAGGAGCTCTGTGGGAAGTTTCATAATTGGTCCCTCAATCCCTTTTCCAGAGGCTTCTAGGGTAGCCTTTGAACGCAAGGACCCCTCCTTCTTGGCCTTCCCCATACGTAAATTTCGTAAACGGTTGACCTCGAACAAAGTTTCACGGCGTAGTCCCCCTCCACCGGTTATCTCGCCTTTCCTCCGTTGAAGGACAGCTTCGACGGCAGCCTCCAAAACCATGATCTCTGAGTCTGCTTGTGCCATCTCCCATTGGTATCTGAATCGGCTTTGGCAGTAAGTAACCCATCGCTTCTCGATTTCTGGATCTGAACTTTTGTTTTTGCGTTTGCTATTTCCATTGGTTTTCTCTTTTTCTTTGCCTTTTGTGTCTTTTGAAGACGGTTCATACGCAGGTAAAGGCCCACAAATCTGATGGGCTGGGTCATTTAAGGCTTGAAGGGAGTACCTGGCACCGCCAGCCTGATGAGGTGTGTATAAAGGCTGATAGAAGGAAACTATTGAAGGTGGCGGGGTAGGAAATACACCGTATGACGACGGGAGTGGTGGAGGCAGATCAGAAGTGTAGTTGTATAATAAAGAATGACTGGGGGAACTTCGATTTCCGAGCTCTGGCTCCTCGACCTCTTTTGCCTTGCCCTTTCCTTTATAGCTACCCTCTTTAGAAGCTCCCTGCCCAGCTCCCTTCTTCTCCTCCGTATCGTCAATCCCAAGCTCTTCTGTGAAAATATCACCCACGCCGAACTTTCCTTCACGCTCCAGAAAGGCCGTTAGGCGATCCACATATCGGACCTTCTCTCTCAGAGTTTCGACATGTTGTCTCTGCCGTTCAAAGAGGACGAGGTCGGTTAAATTTAGTAATTCATCGTCCGACAAATCCCGTAGCACAGGAAACTCAGGGCGGTATTCGCGAGGGATATCTAGCGGGGTATTTGAGCGAGGTGGATAGGATAAGAATAGAGGTGGGGGAAGAGGTGGGGGTGGTGGATAGAAGTTATATGTGTATTCTAGATCATCGCTGAACTGATTGTTATTTGCTTCTGCCATGATTGGAGAGAGCTGGATTGCTACGGTGGTTGTGGCTCACAGAAGGGTGGAGCTTCATGTAATGGACAGATGAAAATGGTGGTTGTGGGTGGTAGGTAGTAGACCTTAAGACTGCATGCATGGTAAGGTAGAAATACGACACTGGTGATAGGATATGCTTACACAAAGAGTAAAGTGTGATCTACCTCGCACTTGGCGTGCGTCAAGCATACATGTGTAGCCCAAAACAGAAGCCCTCTACAATGTGAGCCTTGGCACATGTACACACCGCCGAGTGATCTTGTGGGTAATACATTTGCCTGGAATATTTACACAACAGATAACACATCATACGTACGGACCCGAAAAAAAATCTGGTCATACAGTATGCTTCGAAGACTGAATCTGCGAGATAAAGCTACTTGTTGCTGGATTACCGCCGGTAACTACATATAGGTAAAGTCCGAATCCCAACATGCACCCGCAACCCGTCGAATTGGTCTTCCGGCTAATTCAAATTTGAACAGCAGGTACCTAGATGTGGATGTATCTGACCAGTAAAAGGGATATCTAATTTTCTTTTGAGAAGTGTTTTCTAAATGAGCTTTTAGACGAACGAGGAGAGCCCCGCCCTTCTTATCCTCCGCGTGTCGAAAAACGCTCACCCTAATATACAGTAAAAATAGTGGTCTTTACCCGCAGATCTCCTCACCCTTATCAATTAATTTATTGTACCTAGCAAGAAAAACACCTTTACCATTCATTCCAGCGCTTATTCTATCCTGAAGTTTCACCAGTACTAGTATAATTGGGAATGTGCCGGCCTAGCTATCAGTAGAACGTTTGCCAGATAGGAGGAGGGGGGTTAAACCTCCACGAAGCTTTTCTTCTATTTGTTGGTCTTTATTTACATGTATTTTTTTTTATGTTTTACATGCGGGGATATAGATAAAACATGAGCATGAGAGCGAGAAACAATAACTTCAAATAAATACTTAATAGGAAAAAAGAAAGGAGAATGTAGGCAAATTATATACTTCTATTGAACTTGTGAAGGCAACCGTACTGATGTGCTAGTACACGATGGTACATGTACTTTATAATTTGGCACATGTGATATTCCGCTCCGTCAAATCAATCTATCAATGCAAGCAATCGACCAAGTGATTCTCCGTGATTCGAAACGCCACGTTCTCCTTGATGATTCAGAACTATAAAATGTAACTATCTATAATATTCCTGCCTCTCCTGATCTCATTCCACGCTCCTCTTGCAGTCACGTATGTGCCGGTACTTCTGTACATACGTGACTGACTCCTTATCTACGTATACGTGTACCCTGAAGTCGATCCTCTTGCACTCGGGAGCGGCGTAGTACAGAAGCAATAAAACTCTGAAGTCCTGATCCTAAGACATTGCGCCAGCAAGCGCTAGCTAAGGAAGAATCCCGGTAGCAGCACATGTTAGTTGCTTACTTATCTCCGGAATTATTCTGCGTTTATATTTATAATAAACTTTTTCATTCGCATTTCTAAAATATAGGAGAATGTAGAAGCTATCCGGCAGGAGAAACCCACCTGAAAGAGATGATACTACCGACCACTGAGGACCATTTATCCCTCTCATCAAGAGCAATCATCGGCTATTCCTATCCCCTTTGCTGTACGTACCTGGCTTGCACACATCAATCCCTCAACGGCACTGAACGCCTACATCAATATCCTGAAAATCAAACTATCTCTCTCCTCTTAACCACCACTGGGTCGAATGTACTTGTGCATACGTTACCCCCGACTCCTCCTCCCAGCGCCATCTAAACCACGTACTTCTACTCATGAAGAGCTCTGGACGCCGGAGTGGTATCCTAACGGAGTGTATAGTGTGTACCTGAGTTGTGATGTATCTACCTCAGAATATATTAATAGCACCTTATATCGTATCTATAATCTTTTAGATTTTTATCACGACTTCAGCGATTACAACAAATCCAACTATGCCCACAGTAGTTCGATCAAGAAGCCAACCGACCTCCTAGTGAATTTTGCCAAGTCCTTAACTCTTCTGGCAGCCAATCGAACAACCCCAAACTAATGCCGGACTCAGAATACCGAAAATATCGTCCGCATAAACAAATCAGCCCCTACAAGTCTTCATATTCTAGGAGAGACAAAGATATCTCCGTATTGGGCCGTCCATCAACACCTTACCAAGCCATAATGACAGGGTATAATTTTAAACTAAACTAAAATGTTTCTAAACCGATTCTCTTCATGGTTGCGTGGCCTAATGGTTAAGGCGCTGGTTTTCGGCTTTGTCTATCACCAGAGATTGGGGGTTCGAGTCCTCCCGCGATCGGTAGACAGTAACTTCTTTTTGAAAGTGTTCTTCAAGTACATTTTTCTAACTTGGTATTTTTAAGGACTTAACAAATGGTTGAGTGGCCGAATTTGGATGTTTAGTTAAACTGTACTTGACCTAATGAGGGTCGAAACAATATTAGATATCCATCCTGGGTTAGAATCAAGGATCCAAATGTAGCATGTGGCCGGGATGACAGCCAGTGTGGTACTGTAACGAATATCAATATTGTAACTATAAAGATGCCTGTTTTGGTCTTTATTTGTTTTAAGCGTTATAGTACAAGAATCCTCACTACTATTCAACAGGTTATTGATCTTTATCTGTCCTATCTTGTATAGATGTTCTCTAGGTAAATATAATTGTACTCGCCCAGCCCTGAAGTCGAAATCCTCAGTTATACCCCCATATCAGCGTGTATTTTCTAAGGTTTTATTAGAGCAGAGAACACAAAACCCAAACATCAAGCTTTGTCATTTTACAATTCTAATACCATTCGTCTTGGGTTGTTTATACACAATACGATCAACGAAAATCTGGATCCAAAGTACGAAAACAAGCAATCCTATATCACTCGTACAAGGCCAGAAATATCAAGACAGATCTAGGCCGACGACCCCCTAGAGATCAATTTCCCTCTCTTGATCTCTGGGCCTCCCGCTCACTAACCGCTCCTCTGCAGTATACTGTGCCCTCAACTCCGCAATATCGACACCCTCCAGCCCCGTGAGATAGAAGTCCAGTTTGCGTTTCAGAGTCAGCCGGTCCCAGGAATCGGCCCACATCTCCTCGCTCGTGTCATCTAGTGCCATGGTCATCTCTTTGAGCTTCACGAATTTGTGCGCTTTGGTCACTATAGTGTGTTAGTTGTGCGTGGAAAAGAGGAGAAGGGGGTGAGATTAATTACATTCAGTGGCAGCGGGGAGCTGCAAACCGGGGATTCTTTGAAGGACTTGGACATGGGGACGAATAGCGGCGCACCATTCCTCGCCAGTGTGCATGGAGTACCACCTCTGTTTACCGTATTCAGCACTTCCACTCCGCCATTTTCAGAATATGAAATTAAGCACCCACCGAGAACGGTTTCTTCTCCCTTAAATTTACCTGACTCATCTCCAACTTATACCTAGGCATCAGAAAGTTATCATACAACTCATTCATACTCACACTCTCCGGCAGCTCCACCCACGGGTCCCATAGCGCACACACGCTCTTTCCAAGGGCGCGGGTGAACAGCGACAGCTCCTCCGGCGACCATGTGCTGCTGCTGCGCTCGCGGAAGAAGGCAAATGTCTTAAAGGGTCGTGCGTTCCAGCTGTAGGCGCCAGGAAGGTCCTCGGTGGTGATGTACTCGAGTGGGAGGAGAATGTGGAATGTATTAACTGGGCGAGCGAATGGATTAGTAAGTGAGAGAAGAGATGGTGAGAGGAGTTATGTACGGATGTAGGCTTGAATCAGGGACTGGACAATTGGGAGCTCAGCGGGTCTGGACTGCGCGTGCGAGTAGGCAATTGAGGAGTCCGCGGCGTTGCTGAGACCGGGTGCAGGGTCAATGATTGCCGACGACGATCGACTAGGCTCAGTATTTCTTGAGTGCACGATCCAACTGATGCTCATAGGGTTATGACCTCTTATTCCGTTTTCAACTTCAGAACTACAGGGTGAAGATCGGACCTGGTCGGCTTCTTCAGCGACTTCAGACATCGTTGTGTCATTATCAGATTCGCCGGCATCGGGAAGCGCAGACTTGTATGGCTCGGGAGGCTCCACGAGAGCACCGAATGCGTTAGCAGGATTGACGGCGTCCTGCATAGTAGAGCTGATGGTATTCTGCACGATAGGGCGGATGTTATTCTGGATGGCAGGATCGAAGTTAGGATTGATAGCATTCTGTATGGCAAAATTGACCATGTTCCGTATGGCAGGGTTGACGCCGGTGTTCTGCATGGTGGGATGGATGGTGCTCTGCATGGCATGATTGACAGTATCCTGAACAATAGAACCGACATTGTTTCGAGCGGCAGAATGGAGGGCAGTATTCCGCATACCAGGATTGATAGTGTTCTGTATATCAGCTATATCAGGACTGTCAGTGTCCCGAATAGCAAGGAGGTAATCGGCCATATCGGGATCTGTGATGGTACTGTCGCTGTCGTACATGTTTTCGTCCATGATAGTAGTACCAGAGGCGTAATTTGGTACATCAGGAACAGTTGGTATGTCTTCTAGCAGGACTGTACTGGCCGGTAGCTCTGGGAATGTGCTATCGGTATCTCTAGAATCCTGAGCTTTTTCCTTTGGGGTTTTGGAGTTTGACTTTGGAGTACTACGGTCACCCATTTGGGGGATATCAGCAGTTTCAACTTCCACCTTGACTTCATCCACCTTGACGTCCATTGTAGATGAGAATGATATTTAAGCTTGGTTGATTCTTGTTTAGAGGATTTTATGATGGTGGGTAGGAAATGTTATTTTTGTGCGGGATTTTGTGGTTAATCGGGAAGGGAGCTCCCGATTGAATGTGAAATTTGGGAGTGACTTAGCTAACACGGCCGAGCCCCCCCCCCCCCCCCCCCAATTCTTATCCAAACCTTTTAGAAAAACATCACTTCTTGACTTTCCCCAACCATCTCCAAACCTCTCTCTGTAAAAGAAAAAAATTAGAAACCCAAGAATCTCAAATTTAATCTAACGTCTATCAACACCCCCACCAGACCAGCTAACCATATACAAAATGGCCAGCAAAATAGTCATTTCCCAAACCCAAAAGATTATCCACACCTACCTTTGTTTGTCCCCCCTCCCCGATACCTCTCCACAAGTAAAAAACTAAAGAGTTTCCACGTGCCATAGTAACCAATCTCAAGGTCTTCATCGTACCCAAGTTCATCGATATGCACGACATCCCCGGAACCCTCAAATGGGAGATCGACCGTTCCGATTGCTTTGATTTTGTTCGCGACCTGCGCATGGGTGTCTGGAACAGACTACACCATATTGCCTTTCGCACAGCGTTAGGGACAAAGATTAAGGCTATACTGTTGAAGAAGGCGATGGATTTGCCTGGAATTGAGAGCCTGGGTGATGAACGTACGTATCTCCAGTTAGATTATAAATGTTGTTGGTCCTCAATTAAGCTTCTATAACTAGACTGCTCAATGTCGGAACTGGAGGCCAAGATCAAGGAGGCAAGTGAAAAGGATGAGCGCATGAAGAATGAGCTCAAGATCCTTAAGATATGCAATGAGGATGCGAAGCTGCAAATTCAGAGGCTCAAGGCGATGAACGCAGGGAAGTTTGTGAGGGCGAGGATTATGGTACAAAATGCGCAGAGTTCACGTCTTAAAAACATCACACGCCAGAGCGCAGCGAGGGTAGAGAACAAGAATTAAGCGGAGACTAAAAGGAGAATGATATATGGGCGTGAGTGCTTGATTTGCTGCTACAGTCTAAATTTAGGCGTCATTCTCCTCCCTTCTTTCTATTCACTTTTCGTCAGCTATATTATCCATCCAACTATTTGTATGCCACTTTTGGCGATAGGATAGGAATAGATACGGTTATGGATGATACGGTCGAGTGATTTCCCGTGAAGTTGAAGCCCCAAAAGATGGGGGAATTTCAAAGCTCTACTACCGCTTAGCCTCGCTGAGAAGTAGAATTTTGTTACGGAGGTTATTTTTCTGCGTAGTGTAAATTTTGGATTGGATTTAGTGATCAGATCGCATCAACTTATCATCTTCCTCGCGATCGCCGCTTTCTTCTCTTTTTTCCTTATTTCTTCCTTCTTTTAGTAGACCTCTCTGTCTGTCCTATCTCTTAGTGCTCTGCCCCTTAAGTAAATAGATTGAAGCCCAGTAATCTATCATTTCCGAAGATATAGGGCCTTGCCTCAAAGCTACTTCACCCTGCAACCAGACTATTTATGAATTAACAAGTACAACATCGCGGCAAGTCCCGCCAGAACACATAGCCACCAAAGCTCGATTTTAAATCCTCACTATATATATATAGCAACGGCTTATCCACCCATTTGTGAAGACCTACACGCCCCAAAAAAACCCAACAAAGCACGTCCCCCACAACGAGCAGGATTCCTTCCCTTAATCTCCCACGACGTGTTGACAACCTGTCACAATCACTTCTATATGTTTGTACAGCCTCCCCTGAATTAAGGGACACATATTTATTGGCCTAATCAACCAACCAGACCCTGAAGGGACGCAACCCTCATGATCAAGGCCGAAAGATACTAAAACCATAACTCTCCTCGTCCATCTGCGTCATGACTCATACCATCCGGAAAGCCTATAGATCCCGACCTCTACTAATTCCATTCGTCAACACCGAGTATAAGGTAATCTAACAAGAGAAAAAGACTTGGCGAGTGATATCATATGATTGTAATGTAGTGTATCATGAAATATCACTCGGGAACATGTGTGGTTGAAATTTGGTTTGTTTGTTTGTTTGTTTAATTCATAGCAAGTCTTTGGTTTTTTAAAGTGGACGGTAGCTTACATCGCTGCCATGTAATTGCTTGTTGAGAAAAGAAATTCTACTTTATATCTATTATTGATATGTAGTCTAGTAAGCGTTTTGATAATGGGGTACAACGGTCTTTTGGAAGGCATCTCAAGCCAAATAAAAGTTAGTGCAAATATATGATTGAATATTCCAGGTAGATAGTTTTTCTAAAGGGAGAGTTATCGTTGCCAACCACAAATACTATCAGCTGCAATTCAGGCGACATGCCGTCGTGACCTTTTCAATTCGAGTCAGAAGCCTTAAGACTCGCTTTAACAAGATTATATTTAGTGATTCTGTGTTACGTCTAGTGACTAGTCAGTCACTTCTCTGGGTGTTTTTAGCTTTCGATACTACAGGTAGACGGATTTGGAGATTTAGTTTGAAAAGACAACCATGCAATACGATTAATCAACCAGCTACTATCAATACCCAGCCCATACGCTGGCTTAGAATGGATCCAGCTTGTATCCCATAACTTTCCTTCCAAAGTCGTCGTAAACCAAACAGCCCTCTAAGTAGCCTTTGGAGTCTGCAATCTCTTCACCAAGACTAATCTTGAGCCTCTCTAAGCGGGGCGCTGACGGTAGAGGTGTTTTATTCCTTAATTTGGCTGGGGCGATTTCTGTTGCTGACAAAAGTCTATTTTTCTTATGACGGCTTCGTTGTTTGGATATCTTGGTAGAATTGTCTCCTTTTTTTGTTCCAGAACTTGATTTCTTTTTCTACAAACCCTTTGATTAGCTCATTTCCATGCATTACAATTGTAAATACCACAACAAAATCTTAGACGTTACCTCGAGTTTATTATTTTTCTTTTTAAATATCAAGGTATTCCTACCCTCCTCATCTTCCTTCTCATCCTCTTTACAATTGCCATTGTCAACTTGCCCCTCGCCTTCATCTTCTGTCTGCCAATGGGTTCTATAGTCATGCTCTGGCTTTCTTTTAAAAAGTGCTAAACGGACATGACTATCTACCTGGTCATTTAGGGTCAAGTTGTCGGAAGTATCAAACATGCCCGAAACCTGAGTACCAAACTCCGGAGCAGCCCTCGAAAAACCTCCCATGACAGCTTCACCAATGCCGCCTCCAGTTCTCTGCGGGTCCCTGGTTCCTCTGATGTTCATGGGTGTGAGCTCTAAATGAGCCCGTGTTCGTAGTTCTCTAGACCCTGTTGTGTGAGACCCTGCATCCTTTATTGTCTCTCGAGATTCATATCCAATTTTGGGATTGTGATGTAGGATAATCCTACTAGGAGAAATCCCCACCATCCCTGCCTCGAGTCCCAGTACGTCTTTCTGATCCTGCGGAACCCCTATTCGTATGTTTCGTTCGAATTGAAAATCAGCATCGAGACTAGCATAGAAGGGGTTTCCAGTAACAGAAAGCTTCACTACCGTATCTCCCCGGTCTATACCTAACCCCCCAAGTCCGGATCCAACATTAGGATTGACGACTTCAGCAAAGCTTCTTTCTGGGTTCTGTATCAAGAAGCCAACTATATCATCTACAACTTCAACCGGTGTTGGCGACCAGGAGTCTGGAAGCAGTGGTATCGTATCCATGTTTTGCATGAGGACGGATTAGTAGAAAGTTTTCTTCTCGTAGATATTGTGAATGTCGCTTCTGTAAGAGATCGGGATGCTCCTACAAGCGTGGAGTGGTTGGTGTACTTGATAAAAGCACATATATACACAAGTACTTTACCACGTGCACATTATGTAATTGTAATTAACACTTACTTTATTTACCTACATTCCCCGTATGCAGTAAAAAATAAAAAAATTTCTAAGCAGAAATCCAACTGATACTCGATCGGGCGCATTATTCAACTATGCTACCGAGCCTGTTGCGTATAATGGATCATTGAAAGTGAGTGTTAACCGTACCAGGATTATATATAGATCGCATGTACACCACCATCAATATTTTATCCTCTCTCAATTCCTGCCTTTCACATTCTTTACTATCGGACCCCCTGAACTGTGCTTGATCAAACCTCGGTGTTTCACATTACTATGAAGAAAATATAATCACAGAAGATCACTCGTGCCAAGAAGATACCTCCTAATATGGCTACTTACCTGCTACCCATTTACTCAAAATAATTAGCTCGCCGATACCCACCAAATCTACACGCAATGTTAATCTCGGAGTCTCTCGGTCGATACTTTCCTCTATTCTCTCTATACTTGCAAACTTCTGAGTCATCGATCGCGAGTCTTTGCGGGCCTGCCGTGTATGAGGGGGCCAGAACCGCACCTATAAAGTTGGCTATATGATATATATACCACCACATTGGGGATGAGGTTTTGGCACAGTCGAGTGTCTATATCTTACGGTTAGCTAATCTAAATACTAATTATCATTAAAAATACTTTACTACATGTAGATTGTGGCTATATTATATTAGTTACATGAGTTATCCCTCTAATAGATATTTTCAATTCATGCATCAACACAAGCGGTTACATGTATCTGCACGTTTCTGCACTGGATCTGACAAGCGACACCTCAGGTTCGTGACAGCAAGTTCTACATCATCGGCCGATTCAACATGGATCGCATTCGTCTCCACATTCCGAATCTCCATGGCTAGAAAACTAGACATAATATCTCACTCGCCTCTGAACATGGTCACGGCTAGTTGAAATATTCGACTAAATAGAAACACTCAAACGCTATCAATAACTGAAATGAAATGTGAGTCTTGACGGATAATCGAAATTTCCATATTCTGTGCTTTGGACAAACACTTGTTCAACAAAGAAACCTCGCTCGTATTCTGAATGACGTTCAAACAAAAGACTTGGCAAGACTTGGCAGCAGCAGCATCAAAACAGAAGCCACCACGTCTCCAGCACCCCAGATATTCATACGAAAATGTCACCATCAGAATTGGAATCGCATAACAAGCTTCCCCTCCTTACCTTGCGAGCTCGGTACCTCCCGTCTACACTAGGTAACGAGACACATTCTGTGACATTGGAGACATCATCATCGTTGTCCGATGCTGCATTCACAAGATGCTTTGAGCTTGTGAGAGATAACTTGCAAGATGTGTATGGGTATCTTCTTTTTAGAGCGGACAACGATTGTGTTATTAACGTGATTTATTAGGTACAAGAGGAGTAGTATGGGTTGGTCTTCGGTTAAGAAGAAGAATGAAATGAGGCATCCTGCAATCCGGTACCTACTCTTACGCACCAAGGATGCGGCAATGTCAAATGAGAACCATGACGAAGAACAGGGGCAGGGGCAGGGGCAGGAAGACAATGAGTTGGAGGAAGAGGGAAACCAAGACTCTTGGGAAGACGAGGAAGATCCAAGTAAAATAGTTGGATTCCTCTCGTTCATGATCACAGAAGAAGTAAAAGAGCATGTGATATACATCTACGAGCTTCAACTTGCCCAAAGCAGCCAAAACCAGGGACTAGGAAAATTTCTGATGAATATTGCAGAGGACTATGGAAGGGCCGTTGGGATGCCGAAAGCTATGTTAACGTGTTTCTCTGAGAATGTGGGCGCAAAGCGTTTCTATCACCGCAATGGGTAAGCTTTGAAAGTTTAGTGAAGGTGTAAAAAAAGAGAAAAAACGGAGCTGATCCTGGTGCCCTTGAATAGTTATGCGGTCGATAAGATATCGCCTCTTCCGAAGATGACTCGGAGAGGAGAGATGAGAGAGCCGAGTTACTACATCCTGGGGAAATACCTTCGGGAGGGGAGGAACGAAGTAGAGAAATCGATTTAGTAATATACCACCAACTATCTATTGATAGACATATGACGAGATGTCTCGAGACAACATTCTAAAAATCTCGAGCCGGACCCCAGTAACATGCAAACATTTTGCGGAGAAGTCGATGAAGAGGCCTGGAAGAGGTCACCGAAGGTGGCATAATGTTAAAATAAAGCTCCTTTTTTCCATATAAATGCATCGGTCAATCAACCAAACCATTAGCACTTTCTCTCACTATACTAGAAGTTAGTTTGGTACACCTACTACATGTAGATATCATGAGAGGTGTGTGAAGCGGGTACTAGTGAGCCTAGAGTATTCTCGCTTTAAGTCCCGGCCCGGGACCTCGAGACTTTGTCGAAGCCTTCGTGAGATCCCAGGACTTGACAATACCTATAAGTTACGGAACGAAACAAGACGAGACATGCCCATATCTCGCTCGTCTCGTCCCGTGCCCATCACTAATTACACGTATAATATATCCCGGGCATTATTCAATTAATTTGGTATGTATATCCGCTGTTAGTAACAACCCGGCCCCAACCCGTACCATGAAGGCGAACGGAGATCGGATATTTCCAGAAGTGCGGTGCCAATTTCAAATTAAGTAAAGAGACAATATATGATTTTCTTGTCCACTCTACTTCGAACGAAGTCAATATTAGCTCCATACCCAAAGCCCCATATCGATACCATACCAGGTTTATACTATCAAAACTAACCAACTTCAAATCCGTTAAACTATCTTTGCTAGTTGGATTTACATGCGTGCTCTTCAAGACGTGACCTGCTAAGAAATCAATCACATCAACAGAGGTTTCACTATAACTATTTTCTGCGAGAGATTTCCTGATCCCATATATACCGTTAATTACATATAGCTATGCCACTATCTGCGCGCACGTGCGCGTACTACAAACTAGAAATGTCTCTGGGTTAACGTTCATTTGGATGGTAACACAACTAATTTCATGATAATTATTGAGCACAAAGTATATACGACTACGAAATAATCCTTAGATGGCCAACTCAGAATCCGATCACGATGGATCAAACTCAAGACTGTATACATGATTTATGCATTGTAACGTCACTAGTGCACAATGCTAGGTACCAAGCTCGCCCGCGCTTATTGATCAGCCCATTAGGCCTATAGGAGGGTAGGGTGAAGATTCCTACTAAGTATTTCGTGTAAACTATATATTATAATGAATGGAATAATGATATTCAGATAATGTAGTTCATGAGTGAGGCCCCCTTAAGCGGGCTCGAGCAACTTATGCTGCGTTTGTCTACATCGATTCTCACGCTGGCTTATATAGACTACACTAAAATTATCATTTCCATTGCCATTATGCCAATGATAATATGTAAATATTCGGCTATGTATATGTCAATTACTTCGAAGGCGTACTAACTTGTGTTCTGCGAGGAACTTTGCAATTTGAGTCTATACAGTCCAGTGGGTAGTTGCCGTGAGAGGGGGTACAACTTTCTTACTAGTATGCATATGTCGCTGGTGTCCGGGAACGTACGCCGGTGGTCCAGTATCGTCGCACAAGCTACCAAGTTTCGTGTCATGAGCCCCATCAGACCATTTCACTCAGAGAGCACAGTTCCAGAGGTGTGGGGAGCAACATAATTCTTATTTGAGTAGAGTACGAGCAGCTCGAGTATCACCATACCTTGCAATTGCATGCGAAGATTTAAATTGATCTTAATACAGAGAATTACTAGCAATTAGACGCCTGTCTAGAAGTTTATCACCAGATAATACCATATTAAGAAATAGCAACCTCTACTCTAGCTCTTGCAGCCTAGCTACATGTACCACATGCATGTAGATACATGAATGCCAAGAATATACTACAGACATCGAGTGACTTCTGATGTCTCCGAGTGTGATATTGTCCTCCAATCTGAAATCAAATTTATATGGTATATTCCTTGACGCCACTGGCAATTCCCGTACGTTTCCAAACAAAAATGATAACTGTAATCATATATCTCATTTTATGACCATATGGGTAATCCCGTTTTCACCCGCTGTGGGCTTCGCCCTCATCATCCAAGGTGTCAGACTCGATGCAATCGGAAACAAAAACTTTTGGTCTTTTTATGCATATATTATATATGTAGCCAGCCGGATTTCATACCATTTCTTCTATAAACACGGGAGAAAGTTGAGTCGAAAACGCGGAAGGAAAGCTTAGTCTTTGACGTACCTGCATTTGTAATAGTTTTTAAACCTGGATGAAAGGACTTGGGGGCAGTCTTTTATTATAGTTGACTCAATATAAATTCAATATTCCATCTGTTCTTGACGGTTTAAATATCGTTGAGAATTCCACCTATAGATCTAGGTAGTACGTTGAGCCTACAGTTAGTACGTACATAGCTAGACACGTACGCAACAAATATAGCATAGTCTCCTCTTTTTTCCAAGATGCTATTCTTTAAACTTTTATTATCTACAATAACTACGCTATTTGCTCTTGTTCACTCACAGGAGGCGACAGACTCAATTCGAGATGCAGGTCAAAATCTCCCTACCAATATCTCCTCTCACCGATATTGACATTATGGGAGGTACAGATGATCTTCAGAGTGGATACCTTCCAAACCACAAAATGGACCCTGCAGTGGTTGATTCAACCAATTTTGGTATGTATGAAACCAACTTAAAAAGCCATCACTAATACGTCGTAGGATTGTTATGGACCACTTTAACAGGCGGATCGGTGCCAGGCTCTGGGGTCACTGAACAAGTAAGCCCAAACCCACAATCTTCTCGACCCGTGGTTTCATCTAAGATTTACTAGTTTCTGGCGAAACCGCTTGTATACACTCCTTCCGAAGGCCCCCAGGTCGTCATTGCTGCTTCTGAGACAAACTGGGTATATGTTCTTAATGCGGCCACCGGGACGATTATAAACAAGCGCAAAGTTCGAGGTTAGTTCCACATTCTGTGTTAATAAAATCGTTATCCGCTCCATGTTGACATTTTTCTGATTGGAAGATCCTTTCGATGTTGCGGACCTGCCATGCACAGATATTCGTGGCACAGTGGGTATAACTGGGACTCCAATAATAAAGCGCGAGACGAATACTTTGTATTTCTATGCGAAAGGGTACAAAGATACTGTTAAAGGTGTCTTCAATGGAGCGTATGTGATATATACACTTACACCTGATCTTTTGGGAGGTAGCTAGCAACGTGAACTAATACCGTTTCAGATACTTCCTGTATGCAGTTGATGCGCTAACTTTAGCGGATCGTCCTGGTTATCCAGTAATGCTTGATGGCAATCCTGCAGACAATGTCATTTACTTCAATCTCAATTTCTGATTGTAAAGCTGATAGGTTTCTTCAGGCACCGGATAAATATTTTCATGGTGGAACCCATCTCCAGCGTGAGAGTTCTACCTTAACAAGTTATAATTAATATGGTGCCTTCTGACGTCTCATAGGAACTTCACTCATCATTAAAGGGAACACAGTATATGCAGCCTTTGGCGGTGTTTGCGAGCAATATAACTTTACGGGATATATAGTTGGTACTGACATTGGAACACCGAAGATAAATGCAATCTGGACCACGGTATCCGGACCAGACTCTATTGCTCAGGATGGAACCTGGCATGGCGGTGGGGTCAGTCTTGACTACAAACTCAGTGACTTGCTCAAGAGGTTAACAAAATTATGAACATAGGGAGAGGCAGGAATCTGGCAGTCCGGTCGTTCCATGGCAAGTGATGGAGCAGACAGGTTCTTTGTAGCCACAGGAAATGGCAAATGTTAGATCTTCCTACATATGGATACATGGATTTTTGACTAATTATTCTGAAAACATCAGTGCTTGGCAGTTACTCCTCTGCGGTACCAGGACCCACACCGCCTAAAAATTTGGAAGGTTCTGTTGTCAGCATTAAGGTTAATATGACGACAGGAGAACTAACTCCCCAAGACCACTTTCGTGAGTAACGAAATATCATGAACATATGAAAGAAAGGATTTAACATGATAACTAGGCCCATATGATTATGTCAATATAGACCCGGATTTGAGAGATATAGGCGCTGGTGGGGTGACAATTCTAGACCCAGCATCCTTTTCAGCTGCTACTGCTCCCATTATCGGCATTGTGGGAGGAAAGACTGGGAAAAGTAAACAAACCACCAACCATGTATTGGGTAATGAAACTAATACGGATACATTCAGTGTATGTTCTTAACATGAACAATATGGGAGGGTTCAAGAACGGAAATGGAGGAACCGATGCTGTCATTCAAACGATCGTGATGCCAACAATAGGGTCCGCTCCTGGAGGTTTATATGGCACCGTCGCTTCATATCCCCTACCTGGGGTCCAAGGAGGAGGGTATATATATGCAAAGATGATATCTACTGCCGGGACAGTAAGAACCTATTACTGACCACTAAAATTATAATAACTAATAATACTCCCACAGGCGAGCCCAATATGTGTTTATAAATTTAATCCAGATGGTAATGTTCCAATTAAACGTGCTAAAATGATCCATAGACTAATTTTGATTCAGGCACACTTACGGATGTAGCTCGGTCAGACAATACTGCCAGCCATATTGGCACAGGTATTCCAACTGTAACCAGTTTCGATGGGGCTGCAGGGACAGGCATATTGTGGTTTACAACTCGCGACGGTGATCTCAATGCGTACCGCGCTATTCCAGTCAGTAAGTTGACACTGCATCTCTCTGGCATTGTAACACCAACAGAAGCTGAATGTTAAATAGATGGAGTGCTTCAAAGAATAAATTTACCCACTAGTGGAATCAAAAGTGCAAAGTTTCAGCGTCCTGCATTCGGCAACGGTCGTGTATATGTGTCAACTTCTGATGGCAATATTGTATGCTTTGGAAAGAAGCCTTAGATATATGTACCTCATACTGCTGTTTATCTACTCTAAACTCTAATGGAGCGGATCTAGCTAGTTCGTGGTGTTTTTGTATCTAGAATACTCTAAAATCTTTAGATACAAATTCATGAAGACGTACCGATTTATTATAAAACAAGTCAGGCCACATATATTGACATGAGTAGCATAATAAATTGAATGCAAAACTATATGTAGGGTACCGATTCGGAATGTGGAATATTGTGCCAAGCTGGAGCGAGAGTTAAAAATACATGTATATTCGCTTAACGAATCTACAGGCCCATAATTTAGGTAAACCAATATTTATCAGCTTACTTGTTGACTGGCATTTCCCTTCATATATTATCACTCGCACTAATATGCGTCCGTGTTAGTGCTTGTGTTCAAATACCAAACTATCAAGATTTGATTTAGAAGTACCATTTATTGATAGCCGTGGTTCTAAAAAGTGGTGCCTTTGGAATCGGAAGCCCTGTAAATCCCAGTATATCCTCCAGAGGGTAAGAAGAGCAAGATTCTTCAGATCACATATAAACAATACACTCCTAGTCCATGGTTATATAGCGCAAACCACAAAAGACATAGTAAATATCGATATCAATTCGTGTCATCATTGGTAGTTTGAACACGATTAATGTTCGGTTATTCTAGCGTCCCGTCTATATTTATCTACAGCTGTTAGCACCAAATCTCTGCCACGGAGCAATCTCTCAACTGATATCCTCAAAGCCCATTACGAAACTTCGATCTCATCTCGCCAGCCCTACCCTATATATACACACATATATATATAGTCCACAAGCCCCCTTCCCAAGCCCCCACCAGAAGACCCCACAAAAGACCAACATAGAAACCACCGAAATTGCTTACTACTCAAAATGCAAAACCGGCTCATGCAACTCCGCTCAAGCAACAGCGTAAACATCCTACCCAACAGCTACTACCTCCCTTCGACCGCGAGCTATCCATGGCCACAGCTGCTCAGATCCTCTGCCCGGCCGCGGGACTGGTGCAACCCGCAACGTCAGGCCTCTGAAATAATCTATTATGCCCGCTTTACAGAAATTGCCCCCGTATTTATTATCTACGAGGAGCCGGCGCGGCCGCCAGTGGAGGGGGGCCCTTTTGAGGCCTTCTGGAACCGCGTGCTGGAGTTTATCACCAAGCTTATAACATACACCACCCGTTCGTTTGGGCCCCCCGGTGGTACTGCTAGGGGGAGAGCACCCTTGAGGGATCTGCGCTTGAGGAAGAATTAGATTTTGGTTGGTTTTTGGCTGCATGCGCAGGTTGGAAGGAGTATGGGAGGTTCTCCCCGGGTCTCTTTGTAAATGGGCTATTTTTATGTCGACATCGAGTTACTTATTGTAACCAGAAGGAGGCAAGGTACTTGAAGGAAATCTTGCCAAGCAGGGCTAGGCGCCTACAACATGTATTTTCTACACCCTACAGCCTTTTGTCATTATTCTTCCGAGAGGAGAAGTTTTAGTTCTAGTTGTTCCCCCCCCGCCACCTCTTGTTACTGGAGGCTTCTTCAATGGACACTAGGCGTATTAGCACATCTTCATAATACCATCCCTGGAAATACTCATACAAGCGCAATTACACAAGTGAACGCCATAGAATGGTCGGGATTTAGTATCAATTCTATCTCTACAAACCAAACAAAAGAAGCAACGAATATGCTCTGCATTCCACCCAGAAACAAACAAAGAAGCCAACATAGGAAGAAAACGGATAGAAGAAGGAAGGAAACTAGGAAATCTCTAAATTCACACAGCCCCAGTTGCATCTACTGGAACTCGATGGTACCTGGAGGCTTCTGGGTAACTACATCACAAACCACACATCAGCACCACAGCTCCAAACAGAAACCATAAAAAACTCAGGACTCAGAAAACTCACCATCGTAAAGAACTCTGCAAACGCCATCAACCTCGTTCACAATTCTCCCAGCCACCTTCCTCATGAACTTCCCATCAAAGTCGTACCAGTCCGCAGTCATGTAGTCTGTAGTCTGGACCGCCCTCAGCGCAATAACCTGGTCGTGCACTCTCTTGTCACCCATGACACCGACAGCCTTGACGGGCAACAGCGCAGCGTACGCCTGCGAGATCTCGCGGTACAGACCGGCGGCCTTGATCTCCTCGATGAAAATGTGGTCCGCCTTGCGGGCAATGGCAACCTGCTCGGGGGTGACCTCGCCAATGACACGGATGGCAATGCCGGGGCCGGGGAAGGGGTGGCGCCAGACAAGGTCCTCTGGGATTCCGAGGTTGGTTCCGAGGACGCGGACTTCGTCCTTGAAGAGCTCGCGGAGGGGCTCGATGAGCTTGAGCTTCATGTTCTCGAGGAGACCTCCGACGTTCTGTATAACTCGGTCAGCTTTTACATATTCCCCTTCATTGAGCAATTGCGATTACTTACGTGGTGAGTCTTGATGGTGGCACTGGGTCCCTTGAATGAGATACTCTCAATGACATCAGGATACAAAGTTCCCTGCAACAAGAAGTCCACCGCCCCGCCGCTCTCCTTAACAACTCTCTCCGCCTCCCTCTGGAAGACCTCAATGAAGGTGTTTCCAATGATCTTCCTCTTCACCTCGGGGTCAGTAACGCCCTTCAGCTTTCCCAAAAACTCCTCGCTCGCATCAACAACAGTCAAGTTGATGTTCAATCCCTTTGTCAAGGTCTCGTGCACAATCTCGCACTCGTTCAACCTCATGACACCATTGTCGACGAGAATGGCGTGGAAGCGGTCACCAATCGCCTCCTTCATAAGCTTGGCCGCAACCGTAGAATCGACACCGCCCGAGACGGCACCAATGACCTGCCCAGTGGGGCCCACAACAGCCCTGATCCGCTCAATCTCCGTGTCGACGAAGCGCTCCATGGTCCAGTTCTGGCGGCACTGGCACAGCTTGACGGCAAAGTTCTCAATGATGGCCTTCCCCTTCGCCGTGTGCGTGACCTCGGGGTGGAACTGGATCCCGTAGAGCTTCCTGTCCTTGTGTGCGATACCGGCGAAGGGGGCGTTCGCGGTGGTGGCAATGGTGACAAAGTTGGGCGGCAGCGACGCAAGCTTGTCGCCGTGCGACATCCACACCTCGAGCGAGGCGTCGAGACCCGAGAAGAGAACGTCAACGTGCGGGGCGGCGTCGGTGTGGCGGGTCACGTTCAGAACGGCATGGCCGTACTCTTTGCGCTCGCCGGCGGACACGTTCTTGCCGTGGTTCCAGGCGATCTCTTGGAGGCCGTAGCAAACGCCGAGGACGGGAACCTATGATTGACATTAGCGCCCCCATAATTTGAGACCGAGGGGAGTGAAGCTTGGGTGGAGTAGGAGTATATAGAAAACATACATCCAGCTCGAAAACGGCAGGGTCAACGTGCGGCGCATCAGCGTCGTAGACAGAGTAGGGTCCGCCAGAGAGGATGATACCCTTGGGCTTCCATGACAGCTGGCTGAGCTTCTGGGTGCACGGGAGCATCTCAGCGTAGACATTGAGCTCACGCAGACGACGGGTGATCAAGTGGGAGTACTGAGAACTATTTCCCTTTCCAATTAGAACCCTTCCTTAAAACAGCGCCTTATATTTTGGCAGGGGTGATAAGGATAACAAACCCGAAATCGAGAACCTAGCAGCCAAAACAACGAGAAAAGAAGAAAAACGTAAGTCTAGTTCTATAGGCGACTGGAGCACTTGGGAGAAAGGTTTGTTATACCAGAACGGTATCGAACAATTCGGCGACCTAGTTGGCGGGGGAGGGCGAGTTAGTTATATATAGATAAGGAACTACTACCACAAACTTTAAAACAGCTAAAGTTTTTTTTATACATACCACTTCGGGCCCAGATCCAACATTCTCAACTGCTTCAGGCATTACCTTTTCTTATAGGAGGACCGGTGGAAAAGAGTATAGAGAATTATTGGCTGTGAACAAACGGCTGAGGGTTTGTCGAGAAGAAGGGACGGAAAGAAATGGGGTGGGGTGGATTTTAGTACTCGTTCGTGGTTGTTGTGGTGGGGCAAGCCCAGAGCGAGGAGGGGTTCAAAACTTTTTTTTTCTTTGCTAGTGCGGCTCTGCAATATGGTCGTCGTCGTGTGCCCCTCCCTCATCCCTATCTGACCCCTCCTGTTGGTTGGCTGCAGGTGCACCGTGCAACATCTCACGAGGGGAAATGATAGCATCGCCGACAATCTAGTCATCTAGAGTACTCTTGTGAACAGAACATGGATATGATAAACAATTCGCATTTTAGGTTCTTTTGATCTAGATCCCTCCTCGCCAAATATCACCCATCCCCCACCTTCCCTTCCCCTCCTCTCCCACCAGCGGTTCCACCAAAATTTAACAGGTGAGGGGGTAAACAAAAAACCACAAAAAAAGAAAGGAAATAAGAAAAGAAAAAAAAGCACCACACAAAAACGCCAGTTTCTTTTTCAAAAAAAACTCTTTCCAAAGAGAAAACACAAAAAAAAAAGGGAAAGATACAGTATGTAAAATCCTCCTTCACATACATGTTTGTTGGGTGTGAGGAAGGGGTGACGAACCAGCATATACACGAAAATTTAAAATATAGAAGAGAGAAATATGAATAGAGAAGAGGTAAACAAAAAAGGGAGAAAGAGAAAAGAAAAAAGGCCCACCAACCATTCTAGCCTCTAAGGAAGACTTTCCCAAAATGTTGCCAGAGGGCCAACAATGATAATCAATGATAATGCTGGAGTAGGGGGCTAAATGACTGACTCGCTCGGGGTATAGGTCATAGTCCCCCAAAACATAATAAATTAAAGACGGGAAGATGGGAACAGATGAAAAAAAGGTAAAGAAGGAGGAGCATAAGACATCACTCGGTGCCGGCAGGCATCGATAACAGATGTCCCATCTGCGTAATCTACACCACAATCCATCAGTACTCACGATTCACACCCAATTGAAGCAAAATGAAGCTCAAACATACCTTTGTCCTCAAATACTCCCCCACCTCCTTCCCTGTCACACCGCCCTTCATGTTTTTCCACGCCAACGGAATCATAGGCACTCTCTCCACCACCTTACACTCCCTGCCGGGTCCCTCTACCGCTGCAATCTTGTCCGGATTGTTGGTCAGCAGTCTGATATCGCGCAGCCCCAGGTCCTTCAGGATCGCTGTCGCAAGCCCATAGCTACGCGCATCCGCCGGGTGCCGCAGTATCAGGTTTGCCTGCACAGTGTCGTTGCCTAGGTCCTGCAGATTATACGCCTTAAGCTTCTCACCGAGGCCAATGCCGCGGCCCTCCTGGCGCAGATAGACGACGACGCCGCCGGCGGGGTCGAGGGCCATGAGACGCGCGGCCTCGTCGAGCTGTTCGCCACAGTCGCAGCGCGCTGACCACGCCGTCTCGCCCGTGTAGCATTCCGAGTGGATGCGGACAAGCGGGGCGCTGTTCCTAGCTGCGGTGGTGAGCGGGGTTGATGTGGGGTGGTGGTTTGAGGCAGCGCTTGCGGGGCGCGAGATGGCGGGCGAGTCGTCGTAGCGGCTGGTGGTGCGGCCGGGGAAGAGGCGACCTGTGTAGGCGCCGCGGATCATACGGTCCATCTCGGACTCGCCGGGGCGCGGGGCATCGAGTGATGTTGAGCGGATGGTATTTCCGAAGACGATGGCGAGGTGCTCTTTATTATCGATGCTGTTCTGGTAGAGGTGCAGGAAGATCTCAGTACCAGTTGTGCTGTTTGATTTAGGGTTCGTTAGATAAAATTGAGCCCGAAAAATGTAGTTCTATATAAAATCTCTATATAATAATAATATCATGGAAATAACTCGCAAGCAAAAACGAATACATACGTTGGAATCCTCGCTCTCACAATACAATTCACCTCCGGCAGCTCCTTCAACAACTTCGGGTGCCTCGTTGCCGTCGCCCCCTCCTCGATCGGCACGCCCTTCGCTGCGCCCAGCACCGGCGTCCCCGGGGTTGTCGCCGGCGGCGTGAAGGCGGGCGACAGGCACGAGGGTGGGACAGATGCCGTGCCGTCTTCGGTCAAGAGCGACTCAGACCGCGACATGGGGAAATAGCCCGAGGCGGGGCTGGGGGAGTAGAGGGCGGGGAGTGGGGGCGTATCGAGCGTGGGGGAGAGGAGGAGGTCGTTGCTGGTGGGGGGTTGAGGGGGAGACGACATTATGTTGCGAGCTGTTGGTGGGGATGGATTGGCTTCGGTGGTGGTTGTAGGTGGGTTGTGAGACAGTTACTGCAGTAAGTGGTAGAGAAATGTAGTTGTGAATAGTAGCGGGTAGTAGCAGTAGCAATGGGGGGGTTGTAGTAAAGATATAGAGTATTATTAAGTATCTCCGCAAATGCCGAAGTATATAGGATAGGATAGGAATACAGAACAATCGCAGAGCAGAGCAGAGCAGAGCAGAGATGTAGTTGTCGAAGCAAGAAGAGAAGAGAATCAAGAGAAGAGAAAGAGGAGAAACCAAGAGAGAGGAGGAAGAAGTCAAGAGAAGAAAAGAAGAAGAAACGTCTACAACTCCAGTAGTCAGGTATCCATCCGACCAAATAGCCCGACACCGCTCCTCCCCACACAACCCAACCCAACCCAACCCAACCCAAGCCTAACCCAAGCCCAAGCAAGCTCTTCCCTCACTCACTCAGCGCAGAGTAATCGAATGTCAGCAACGCTCCCACTGACTCAGCAGGTAGAGAGCAATTTGGCTGACACATCCGATCACTGCTCTGGGGAGATAAAACACCCCGACTCCCGAGGCTGCAGTTTGGCCATGGGACATGGGGTAAGCAGCCCGGATGTGACTCGGGCTGGCCGGGATATGGACGTTGGGTATAGTCTAATGTGAATGTGTAGGGGTAGAATAAAGACCCGAGGCGCAACTATGACATATAGTAGAGTAATTAGATCTAGATATTGTAGGAACTCTAGCAGAGTGAGTGGTTCGCCCAATTGAAGCTTTTCTAAATAGTTGAGGGTAAGTCCTTGAGAGTTCCATTTTCAAAACCTTATCCCCACCCAGCCCAGCCCAACTCAACCCAGAACTCAATTAAACACAACGGACAACAGCCCGAAATCCCGGCTGTTACGTCCCAACTCCCACTTCCTCTACCCCACACTGCCGTACTCTCCACTGTGCCTCAATAATACTTCTGGCTGGCTGGGCTCGCTGATTGCGCTGACACGTGAAATACAAACCCCTGGTAAAGGTAATCTCGGCTGCTCGTTGGGTTGAGTGTAATGAGACAATGCAATTATCGGCTTTGTGGGCTTGTGGACTAGCTAGGAGAACGGCATGGATCATCACTCGGTTCCTTGCACAACTCTCACTCGGTATGTCCCGCTTGAGTACGCCTCTTCATATATAAAACCTTTTCCTCATTTTTTTCCCCCCTCTCCTTCCTCACCTTTATATACGATACGACCCAATCGATTCTTTCTTTTTTTCTTTTCAATCAAGATAAAAAGATAAGAGATAAGAATAATATAATAAAAAAAAGAAACCAGTGCCAATAACAATAATAAATCGCTAAGCCAACTCGACCAAGAAGAAGAAAAAGCCATCAATGACAAAAAAAAAAGAAAAAAGAGCTAGCCTCCCACAAAGATAGATAGAATAAATAGATAAATATAAGGAAGCATAGAGTAGGTTCGCCAAGGAGATGTATATGATGTGGTGGAGTAGTGGTACATACGTACTTGTAGCTTACTTACAAGATGGGGGATAGGATAGGAGTCGTAGGGGATGAGGTGGTCTGAGGTCTGAGGTGAGAGAGGGAAATACTTAGACAAAGAATAGTGATAGACTCAAAACAAAGCCAAGATGGGGGATGTGTGTGTGTGGAAATAGGAACACGAAACAAGGAAAATCCCCCAACTAACACTACTCAACATAAAGGAAAACCAAACCAGAACCGGCCACTCAAGGAAAAAAAAAGAAACGAGAGAAAAAAAACCTCCCCAGATATATTCCCAGCAGTAATCTCACGCACCGAATCCCCTCAGACTTCTAACTACTTCCCCCACCTCAAACCCTAGTCTCCTCACGATTTTTTCGTCCCACTCCTTTCGAACCCCCTCTTCTTTGCGCACAAACACGATCCGCCCGCTATCCCGCACTTCAACTGCGTCCTCACTCCGGACTCCGCCCTCAGGCACAGGATTGACATAGATGGTCATGTCCGGGCCTACGCACCCTCTCCATACTGTCGCGCACCACTGCCAATGCTGCAATGGCGTCAACCCGTCGGCCGCCAACCTGGCCGCAGCAACGTCGCTGCGCGAAACCATGTAGCGATTGACCAGCACCACGCTCGGCGCATCCACGGCCGAATCCTCCCCAAAGTTCATCGTCACGGGGGCGGCGCCGTCACCTCCCGGGGGAGAGGACACGGCCTTCTTGATTTCAGCGCAGCGCCGCCGCCACGAAGCAACGTGAGAGAGGTATCGCGCGGCATCGTCGTCGTCGTTGTGGCGGTCTTTGTCCTTGGTGCTGCTTACAGGGACCAGAGAGGCAGTACTAGAAGAGTCAAGGCTGGTGGGGATGAGAAGTCCTTCTATGTCAGCTGTCTCCTCTGCCACTGTAGGTGTGAATAGCTCTGGCTCGTCAATCACATGTATCGGCTCGGATTTTCGAATGTCCTTTGCAAGGGCATGGAATAGTTCAGTCACTGTTTCAACGTCTTCACCTTCGATTGCAACTATGGGTAGACGGGGGAAGCCTGGCCCAGACATAGAAGGGAGGGGTTTACAGATCTTGCTGAATGCATTGATCTTCTCGAGAATGGGGATAGACTTGATCACGTATGCGTCCGGCAGCTGAGGTGTAAAATTGGGCAGCTGATGGTAGTGCGAGGTGGCGGCCAGATTACTCTCGTGATCCAAGCTTGTGGCTGTTGTAGGCGACTCGCTTTCGAGTCCATTTTGCCGGAGGAATGGGTCAATATTTGGATCATGCGCAGACTGTGTGAGGTGAGTATAGAAACTTTGCTGTAGTGAACCTGGCCCCATCATGCCAGTCATTGGGGAGCCTTCATTCAGTTTTCGCTTCTTGATCGGCGTCTGAAGTTCTGTAACAACCACAGCATTTGACTCGTCCTCATTTTGGAGGTGTCCAAGCTGCAGAAGCGCTTCTACGCCAACCTGGTCAACAACTCCTACCCCACTAGATGAGCCTGCCTCCGGGCTGGCCTGAGGAATAGGGTCCTCAGAGCTCCCTGTCCGTCTCTTCTTCGTCGGCGGAGGTGCGGTAGAGGGTGGCCTGGAGATATGTGGCGGTGGCGGCAATCTCGGGGTCTTAGGAACCGCAGAAGATGGGGTACCGGGAGTCTGTGGTGTAGAAAGCGTTCCCGTACGGCCGCCGCAGAACGAGCATATCGTGGTTTCAATCGATGGTGACAACGCACCACCCGTGCCGGCAGATGAAAAGGCAGCAGCTGCAGCCGCGGCATTCTTTTTACCGTTTCTCCGAGGCTGGTATCGATAATCGGGATATCGAAGAAGATGTTGCTTTTTCTCATCCTATTTCGGGCGCGCCAGAAAGTCGTCAGCGCCAAGGAATTCTACAATATCTCAAATGCCTGCTTTTATAGCAGGTGGGTATTAAGTGTTCAAACAAACATCCGCGTGCTTCTGCCATATATTTCTGACATCCTGTGGGCTTGTACGCCACATCTCGCCGATTATCTTTGATATCTCGGGGTTCGGCTTTCCCGGGTGATGGGCAACGACGGCCGCCTGGTTGTGCTGTCGATACAAGATGAAAGCTTTTCGATACGAAGGATTGCATGTTAGCTTCGTTACAATGTGTGGTGCACAATCAACCCGGTGATCTCAAAACTCCCTCTGTAACTTATAAAGAAAGAAAGAGAGAGAGAGAGAGAAAGACAAAGAAACAATGTCATGTAATGAGATAGAAACAATGTCCAAGGGTGCCCTACCGTTTCGAGGTCTTGGTATGCGAGCGGGCTGCTGACATAGACAAATACTCATGCTTGGTGGCACGGATGACAACGTCAAGTCGGGAGAGCCAGGTGTCAATGACGTCTCATCTTCCATATCTATTGTCGAAGAAGGTATTACGATAGGTGCTGTCTGCGGAGCAGATGCAGCTGGCTGTCGTGGTGAACCCTGCGCAGGAGTAGCAGGTGGGGGAGAATTCGAAGCCAGCGGCATTTGTTGCTGCTGCTGAAGCTGTGGTGATGTAGGATCTTGGTGATACTGCTGTTGCTGCTGCTGGTTCTGCTGTTGCTGTTGCTGCTGTTGCTGCTGCTGTTGCTGCTGATCTTGATTTTGTCTCTCTTCAGCAGCATCAGCTTGCTCCAGCGCAGCTGCTGCCCGCGCCTGGTGAGCTGCGGCATGCTGCTGAGCAACCAGGCTGTTAAGCTCGACATCGATTGGGACCACAGCAACGTTAACAGTAGAAGTGGGAGCAGAGGAAGTGACCGGGACGTCTTTGGCCATGATTGAGATGTCCACTGTATCACCAGTACCTGGAGGATCCTCGCCTTCTTCTAATAAGCTTCGCAGGACCCCAGCTTCCGCTTCTGCAGCTGTTGTAGCTGGCTCTGCCATTCTTAGTAGAATTATCGATATATAGAGCCTCTATTTAGAGGAAGTAACCAAGAGTAGTAGAAGGTCGTTACTGCTTTTGTATTTCGTGGAACTGTAAGGGACTGACTGCTTGGAAAGGAAAAGATGTTCCTCTTTGATTCCGCCCAGCGAAAACAAAAGAAGAAAGACGCTCTATTCGTTCCAAAATACGCCGTATGAGGTAAGATAAGGGAAAGAAAAAAAAATTTAAAAAAATTATCACAGGTTAGTTAGAACCTTTTTAAAATGTTCTTTCTTTTTTCTTTTTTTTCTCCCCTTTGTCAGAACGCTTTAGCTTCGTTTCGCTTTTTTGGCGAGCTATTCAGAGCAAGATTTATAATTAATATTGCTGCAGTACCCGCCTTTTCTCCAACACGATGGGAAAAAAGGCTCTGTCTGTCCTGTCTTGTTCTGTTCTGTTCTGTCCGCCTGATTATCCGTTTCTCTCTCTTTCTCTGTTTCTCTCTATCTTATCTTTCACTGCCTCTCCTACTAGGCCTTCACACTTCATGCAACTCTAGACTCTAGAGCTCTCTCACCCATGCACACTCTCTCACTCACTCACGCACAGCACTTCTCGC